CTGATAAAAGGTATTGGAATGATAGTGTTGAACCTGCTGAGGGAAACAAAGGAAGAGTATCTTGCAAGACATTAAAATGAATCGTCATAGGAGATCAAGACTCATTCAAACATTAGGAGAGAATTAAGGTTTGGTGAAAGCTCTTTAACATTATGGAGGATATCACACATGTCACCACAGCCTAAGAGTATTAACCATCAGTTATGTGATGAAAGAATTTGTTTATTGAGGCATAGTGTAAGTTCAGTCGGTTTGAAAAAAACAGCCAAGCTGTTTCCAGCATGCCATTTCCCATCTCCAGAAGTATCTGAATTCATAGGGACTGTGCGGTAGAGACAGAGTAAGTGCTAGTTCAGGAAGTGCATCGCTTTCATGATACAGGTATATAGTGGGGAAAGGGGAAAAATTTAACTTGATACTCCATAATATGATATCATACTGACATGGAAAGTTACTTAAGATGTAAAGGAGTGAACAGAATGGTACAATCTTAGTTACCTATAACTAACACACATAAGGTGTAAGAGAGCAAAATTTTAACAAAATTTTTGGGTAGAGAGATAGTTGAGAGGTGCGCAGGATTGCCATGTGTAAGGCTTTGTTATTAAAAACATATCTATAGTTTTTTATCTATTAATAAAGAAAATGTAAAAATGTCTTTTGTTCCTATTATAAACATTGGTTATTTTGTGTGTATTTGTGTGTGAGTGAATGAGAGAGGGGGTGGTAAGATTCTTATTCTCCACAAAATGTATAGGAAAAGCTTATTCCATTTAAAGGAACTCTACTTACCTTAGAGGAATATTAAGTTGGGCTCTCTAGCTAGACAAGTAGAGTGCAAAAGTGAACAGTAATCTTTCTAGTCACATTTCACACTTAGGTGTTGGGGAACTTTATTTTTAGAGTATTCAACTCAACATTTTGGGAAAGTTTGTTTCTATGGAAATGCACTTTCATTTTAATGATGGGAATCAGAGTAGATTGTACCCATGATGGGTGAATGTTTATATTTCTTTGTACTTTGAGAAATTCACCTGTTTTATTATTTGAAGTGAAATTTTGTTTAGTTAAAATAACATTCCCCTCTAACAAAATATCTTCTTAAATTTCAGACTCCAGTGAGATATACAAAGACATTGTTGCTTCCAGTTGTTCTTGTAGTGTTTATTGCAATTGTTAGAAAGGTATGTCTCTTACTTAAGAGCTTTGTTTAATACTAAAATGTTTTCTTGTTTTTACATGGTAGTTATATATACTTAGCCACATGTTAATCTGATACAGTGTTTCATATGGATTTATTGAAACATATTCTATATTTTCTTACTGATAGACTTTGATAGTCATTTACAAGTTTTTAAAATATTCTGATATCTGCTAGCGTAAAATAGACATGGGAAAATGATGGCTCAAGTTTTGATACTCATGTATTTTTGGAAGACATAACCAGAGACCATATTGACCCAGATACAACTTATAAATTATTACTGACTGACTTTAAACTTTTAAGTAATATTTCCCTGAAATATTAATATATGCCTTTCTAAGTGAAAGTACAGTGTTAAATAACTCCTGGATCATGTTTATTATTCATTAAAAAGAAAACTAGAGTATTAAAAAGGTATCGATTAACTAGATAAAATGTTTAGGCCCCCAACTTGGCTTTGATAATGAAATTCTAAGCCCAGATGTAAATCAGGCCAGAGGAGCTCCAATCTTCATCGAGCAGGTGTGTGGTATTTTCTCTCCTTCTTTTAAGAGGTTATGAACTGTATAACTGCAAGTATCTTAACAGAATGAATTGAGATTAGTCTGTGATAAAAAAATAGGTGGTAGACCTTAGAAGTTTTCTGATTTGTAGCTAGTGATTTCTGTGTTAACACAATGTCATATATTTGTAGAGTTTTCTATACTATAACAATTGTTCACATTATATATTTGTACTGTGCTTTGTTACTCTCCCAAAACATTTTCACGTGAGTATTTCCATTGGTTACTCGACAGCCCTGTCGGGTAGACAGATATTATCGTCCCCATTTTGACACATGCAGAATGGGAAGATCAAAGATGTTGCAGCCTTGCATCATGTCCATATTCACTGGGTGTCAGGCAGGTGGGAGCGGGGAGAAGCGGATGGGTAAACTCACAGCTAGTAGGTACTGTGCGCACTGTCTGGGCCATGGGCACACTTGTAGCCCTGACTCTGGCAGTGCAAAGACAATATATGTAACCAAAGTTTGTACCCCTGTGATATTCTGAAATAATTAACTTTTTAAAAAAGCAAGGGAAGAGTGGAGACTAAGGCTCTGCGTCTTTCCCCTCATTGGATCTCATAGGGTATTTGGCTTTGTACCCTCATAGCACTTTTAAGCTGTAATCAGTTACTCAGCTGTCCTGCTGTGTGCCAGGCTCTGTGCTTGCTTTGCACTTTTATATACTTTATGTGGGTTTGTACCTAGTAGGCACTCAGAAAATACCAGTTGTTGGACACCCAGAATATATTCAGAAGACAGCACCATGGGTGGCGAGAGATGATGAAAACAATTAGCTGGGCTGTTTGATTCAAAAAGGAAAAGATTCAAATGGAAAGAGGATAATTATTTTCAAATATTTAAAAGCCTGCCACTTGTAAATAAGGTCACATCCATTCTGGCTTCTTAGAATTATGGGCAATTCTAGGAGGCAGGACTTTTGAGACTTTTGACCAGAATTGATCTGGACTGATAAGGAAAGTGTTACAGATTCAAACAGAAGCTGGGTGGTTCTTCCAAGGGCTGAATTAAAACCTGTCAGCAGTGTAGGGAAGAGTATCCATACCAGGGTGAGGATTTCAGATTAGATGACCTCCCCATTACTGCTAAATATGAAAACACAGTGAGTGTGTTTCAAATGCTTTTAGCTGTGATTATCAGTCTCTGAGCCAGTTCTCCAGTTTTGCCTGTGTATAATTAAGTAGAGGTACTGCCAACAGCCTTGGTATGGTAGAAGCTGCACTGAATGTGAATTTGAAACCGGAAGATCTGGTTTCAGGTCCCAGCAATGCTTCTTAGTTGTCCACCTTCAGGGAGATCATTTAATCCATCTGAGCCTGTTGCTCATTTACAAAATGAGGATAATATAATCTACCTAGCAGGGTTGTTGAGTATTAGATATGATCAAATACTATACAAATATAAGATTATATTGTTATTATTTTCCAGGTTATCTCTTATCTCCATACTTCTCATGTTTTTAATTAAAAGTTTTAAAGTTTAGAAGATAATGTTATTTAAAATTTTGTTTTTCTCAAAACACCTTTTCTAATGTGTTTTAAAATGTATTTACAGATTATTAGTGATATGTGGGGTGTCTTAGCTAAACAACAGACACATATAAGGTAAATATGCTATTAAGAATTTTGTTATCTCATCTATTCATTTACTAAATAGATATTTACAATGTATTGATTTTATACCTTCATGCTATACACTCAATATTTGATAATTGATGTTTTCGATTGTTGTCATTCCCCTTCTTGGCTTTTCTCATTATTCCCTGTCTGTGCAGAGCACAGGACATCACTCACTCATCCCTCGGATCTTATCCAGTACAATCTGACAGTAACCCTATGCATAACCTGTACTTGAAGAACACAGCTTTGTATTAATACTGTAGTTCAGCAGGGAAAATAAATTATTCTGTGAGTGATTTTAGGATCAAAGGACTGCCTACTGGGAAATGAGCAGGGAATATAAAACTGGACCATACCTTACTTTTCACACAAAATAAATTCCAAATGGAACAAAGATTTAAATACAGAAAAAAAATGAAACTCTAAAATTAATGAATTTATAGTCTTAGAGAGGCCTTGTTAAGACAAAACCTATGTGCTAGGAGGAAAAGTTGACAAAGTTGACCAGATAAATACTTTAGTTTGGCAAGATACTGTAAACATTGTTAAAAGAAAAAGGACAAATTGGGGAAAATATTTGCGACATATGACACAGGACTAATGACCATGATATATAAAGAACTTCTATAAGTCAATAATAAAAATGCTAAAATCCTATTAGAAAAATAAGTGAAGGACACGAACAAGCAATTGAGAGAAAAATCAATTCTCCTTTTCCCTTTCCCAGTAGACTCATGTCCCATGGACCTCCTTTCTGTTCTTTAACAATGGCAAGTACTGCAGCTCTGCAGCTTTGCAGGAGTAGTACCTTGTGCGCATAACTGTTCCCCCGTCTCCTCTTTCCCTCTAGCCTGGCTCTTTGCGTGGCTGACTCCTTTAATCCTTGCTTAAATGTTACTTCCTTCAAGAAGCCTTTCCTGATAATTTCTGAGCAGATTCCTTGTCCTCTTGCTTGCTGTTTTCACCATGACACCCTTTATCTTTATCTCTTACCATTTATCACCATTTGTACTTAAATACTTATGTGTTACCTGCGTCTCCTGAAGGGAGGGATCATGTCTGTTCATCAGTTTATATGCAGTACCTGGCACATAGCAAAGAATAGTAGTTGAATTAGTGAATATTTACACATAACTAATGGGCACCCAAAAAGGTGCCCAGTCCTATCATAAAGACATTCAGATTAAAGTGAAAACTTTTTAACTTACCAGATTTCTAAAAATTAATAATGTCCAATGCTTGCAAGGAAATAGGTGGGTGGGCAGTTTGGCAATACGTAGCAAAACACACAGTAGGCCTATTCTTTAGCCCATCAGTTCCCCCAGTGCAAATGCATCCTCTAGAAATGCTCACAGAAATGCAGAGATAGTGGTTAAAAGGTGCTTAGCGTGGTATTGCCTATAATGTGAAAAATGGAGACAACCAAAATATCTATTATTAATAGTAAGGGATTGATTTAATTGTGATCCAATCATAGTGTGGAATGTCAGGCCATCTTTATAGAAGTAGTTCCATCGTACATCACTGGGTTTTAAAAATATGTGTAATTATTATACTTCCGTTTAAAGTATGGAGATTTTGTGTTTATTTGTACATAAGAGTGATCTGGAAGAATAAAACTCATTAACTATTAAGAGTGTAGGATTGGAAGATGGAGTGAAGGAAGTTTTAATTCTACTTTCTTCTGTGGGATGGGAGGGCTAGGGATTGTTGAATTTATGTGTCTCTGTATTTTCTTTTATAACTTGAATATACACAGCCTTATATTATTCCCTCACCTCCAGATCTCTGCCAACACCATGATAAATTATTGCACATACTCCTGAGAGAATCCTTGTTGTCATTTAGAAACAATTTCCAATAACTATGCCCTTGCTCATACCTGAAGCATTTTAGTTGAGGGCCAGGGGAAAAGGAAAAAGGTTCTGGTATATAATGCTGACATTTCTCTTCATTTGAGGTGAAATTATTTCTGAAGAGCTCAGAAATAAGCTACAAAGTTACAGCTATAGTAGCAGCTCTGGAAGAGGAAAGGTGGGACTTTTCACAGAAACAAATCCATCCCTTCAAGAATAACTTGGCTATAGAAATAATTATAGAAAACCATTGAGCTTCATGAGGTTTTCATTTCAAGTAGGATCAGAGCTAATTTTGGAAGGAGAGTAGCATTTTGACATTTTATTTCACATATCTACAAAAATGATATGCCAATATAAAAAGGAGAAGGCTAGCTGATAAATTTTAATTATCAAGATGTGAATACCAGTATCCCCTTTACTCAGGGATTCAGGAGGTAAAGTAAGATAGTGGCAGCATGATGTAGTAAAAAGTATATTCCCTCTGGAATCAATCAAAATATAGTCCTGGCTGCCACGTAGTAGCTCTGTGACTCCCTTTCCTTAGCTGTAAATTGGGATAATAAATGGTTGTAAGATCAGAGTTAATGGAATGTGCTAAGCATATTAACATTGTAAATGCTCAGTAAATGGTAACTGATAGTTTTTACTTGGCATGAAAGAAGAATGAAGAAAGAATCATCTCATCTCCTTCGCTTACCCCGTGTTTACTGAGTTTGCTAATATATTGATTTCACAAATTAGATTATGTGCTTACCTGGGTTAGGAGTTAATTGATACACTTGTTCATTCATTTAAAAAAAGAATAGAGCACTATGTGTCAGGCATTGCTCTAGGTCTTGGGAAAATATCAGCGCTTAAGATGGAGAAGGTGTGTTTGTCAACTCACCCATTTCTGTCTCTGACCCAGACTTCTCCTTTGAACTCAGATTTGTGCATGTAACTATTTGATAATTATTTGTCATCTCTACCCGGTGTCTAATGAGAATCTAAACTTTTAATGAGTACAACACTGAACGTCTGACTGTATCCCTGCCAGCATGCTTCTGGACCATCCCTGTCTGATAAGGACCTCTGGTCCCCTCATGCCTCAGCTCGAAAAGCCTGGTGTCATTCTTGATTCTGCTCTTTATCTGAAATGCCACATCCCATCCATCTGTAAATCCCGTCATCGTCACCTTCAGAAATACATCCAGACTTTGAATACTTTGATCATTGCTATCCTTGTCCGTGTGACTGTCACCTCCCCTTAGTTATTGCCTCATAACCTCCTAACTGACTCCCTGCTTCTGCTCTTGACGCCCCAGGTCTTTCTCTACATAGCAGCAAAGCGAGCCTCTAAAACGGAAGTCAAATCCTGCCAATCTTCTTTAAGTCATCTTCCACATCACTCCAAGTAAAATCAGAGTCCCCATCATGGTCTCCAGGGTCCTGTGTCTTCTGGCCCTTCGTCCCTTTTCGTCTCCTCTGCATCGTGGCCCCCCGCTCACTTTCTCCTTGCTGATCACGCTATCTTTGTGTAGCCCACTAGAACCTCCCTACCACAGTGCCTTTGCATCCTCTCTTCTCTCTGCCTGAAATGCCCTTCCCTACGGAATCCTCAGGGCTCAGATGTCACTCAGTTGGTGACCACACGGATTAATGCACACCTTCCTGGGTACCCCGCTCTCCCTGCGTCTTTCACCCTGTTTCCTGTTCTTCTCAGCACTCATCATCATGTGATATATGTTTATTTGCTTTTTGTTTGTCTCCTTTGACTTATATGTAAGCTTCATGAGGGTCAGAATTTTTGTCCGTTTTGTTACTGCTCTGTCTCCAGGGTCCTTAGTGCTCAGTGAAATTGAGTGGATGGATGGATGAATTTGTGCTCTGTACTCCTGAATGGTTCATTTTAGTGGGGAGAGACAGATGATGATCAAGTAAACCACAAATGAGAATTTTGTTTTCTGTGAGAAAATAAAACAGGGAAGGAAGGTAGGAGTGACCCAGGAGAGGGCACTGAATGTGGGAGAGTCAAGGGCTCTCTGATGGTCTAAGGAGTAAATGGTCTAGTGAGGCCAGAGCATGGCAATTAAGAGGGAGCATGGTTGAAGACAAGTTTCAGGGTTGAGAAGTGGGGCTGGCATAGAAAGACCACGTGTGGCAGGGCAAGGAGTTGAAAGTTTAATTGCAAAGGGAGCCCATCACAGGGTTTTAAATAAGGGAGCAGCATGGCCAGCTTCTCATTGGCGAGATTGCCCTCACTGCAGTGATGAGGACGGATGGTCGGGGCAGGAGTGAGATGTGGGGAGGATATGTCAGCCTCTAAGCATGGGTCCTTTTTCGACAAGTTAGAGCTGTCTAGCAAAGCTAAAGATGGAAATGGGTGTCTATTTGTATATTCCACAGCTGGTGCTGAAAAAAATCTCTTATATGGCTTCCCCAACCCTAAATTGTCTCTTTAGCAGCTGCAGTTTATGGGGCACTGAGGGACCACAGGGGTGGGAAGCAGACATATGGGACTGTGAAGGCTTCAGAGTCCTTATTCACTCCCTGTGTTGACGGCGTATCACCAGTGAGGGATCTGGTACACCACAGGGAGCTTTTGGTGGCCTAATAAATACCCATGTAGTCAAATATTCAGGATATAGTGCAACATTGTCATTTTCAATAAACTTTCTTAAACGATTTTAGTAACAGTTTTGTATATAACTTTTAGTTATTTTGATTTACGTATATGTATCCCTGAGGGAATGTTACAGAAATTGTAAAATTGGCATTTGTAAAATAAAAATGCAAATAATGATTCAATAGCAGTATTTTTTTTTTTTCGTTTCAGAAAACACCAGTTCGATCATGGAGAGGTAAAGACAGCATTTCTAAAATTTCACTTATCTATTTGGACTTTTTTTTCTAGTTCCAATTTCTGAGTTTATTGGCAATTGTCATTAATCATCTTCAAAATAGCCAGTATGTGTTTTTTATGAGAATGCTACATACAGATTCACTGACCATTTGTGTGTTAAAACAATTAACTAGGGAGCTTGTTTGATCTGCTGCTGACAATCCTTGCAGTAACAGCGGTTGATTTCTGGAGCCCATTTAGATGCAGATATGAGGTGTCTTGCATGATTGGAAATCAATTTCCTCTGTGCTCACCTTGCCCTGAGGCTTTGGAGATGTGACTGGTATTGCTGCTCCCCTCTTCTAGGGATCCGGCCTAGTTTTAAGGGCAGTTCCAAGATGGAGCTCTAGGATCTTGAGGCAGCAGTCATTTCTTTTACCACTTTCCTGCCTTGGTCAGATGGTAGCACCAAGGTAGATTCAGAAGTGTGGGCTTTCTTAACCATAGGCTTGACTCTGAGAATTACAGAAACATTTGACTTAGTGACTTTATAATTTTAGCCTTCTACTAAAATGAAACAGTTTGAAAGAGAATTTTAAGAACTACTTTAGAAATTTCAGAAATCAAAGTAGCATGAGTTTTTATTACTAAGAAAGAAATATTCTTTTCTGTATATTCACCAGCATAATAGTATATTCTGAGAACTTCACAAATAGTAGAAGTAAAAAATATTTTCTTCTTTCTTTCAGCTGGTTTATCATGCATTGCAGCTGTTAGCGTATACAGTCCTTGGTATTTTAATTATGAGACTAAAACTCTTCTTGACACCACACATGTGTGTTATGGCTTCCTTGATCTGCTCAAGACAGGTAACACGGTTGTTACGTTGGAGTTATAGCTGCTGTGATGATTTTACTCCAGTCTTTGTTATTGATAGCCCTAAAATAATATTGAATTACCCAAAGGTTTTAAAGTCATTATACTTAAAATTCTTCATGGTTTTGTACTAATCTTTCCTAAAGGGTAAAGGCAAAAGCTGATCATTGTGTATCCTTCTGACTTGTAAAATAGTCCTTGGTATATAAGAAGGACTGAATCAGTGCAGGCTAATTTCATGAGTGATTACTACAGGTGCTGATAGAAAGCAAAGCTTAATTGTAGGAATAGCTTTTTGTTGTTCTTTTGACATTCATATCACAAAAAGTTCTAATAATTGATTTCAAGTTATAGGTACTTTCAAATTATATGTTCTTTTTTAGTATCAAGCTTATTTTGTTTCATTTATTTGGTATACCTTTGTGTGTAAATCCCTGACTTTTGCTTTTTAAAATTTACTTTAAGCCTTCCTTGGTTATTTGCTGCTTATTTTTCCTGGAACACTGCCTCCTTGCTTTGTATTCACAGATTTATGCTTCCCCATGGTGTCACCTTTTTGTCATCCAGCCAAGGTGAAACACAGCAGTACCTCTATTAACTAGGAGATATTTACTAAGCACCCACTCGGTGTTCTAGGGATGGGAGTAGATTGGTGGATGGAAAAATCAAAAACCCGAAGTGTATGCCCTCAAGAAGCTTGAAATCTGGCTCTGTAGACATGTAGAGAAATAATGTTAAGGAGAGAACAACAGGGAGAGGCAAAGCATTATTACTGAGCGTGAACTATTTAGATATGGAAAAAAATTAGCCAGTCTCAAGGTTCCCAGTCAGAATGTCGGTATTATGTTAGAGAGGCACTACTAAGCCTTTTATCTTAAATCTCATTCCTCAGTGTGACTGATGATAGAAAGCCTCACCCAGGGCTGGCTTCACAGGTGCGGGGCCTCTGCTGTCACACAGGGCACTGCACTCGAAAGGACCCTGCGCTTTGTTTAATGCTTGCTCTTGCTGTTTTGAACTTCTTAATAACTTTTTTTTTCCCAGAGTGGATGCATTTATTTCTATATGCAAATATATCACCTTTCAACAAATATACAGTAGTTATAAGATCTGAAAATTAAGTCTGCCAGAGAGAACTGTAATCTCTGGATTCATATGCCTTAATCCTTCCATGCAGAGCCTCCGAGCATGAGATTCTTAATAACTTTTTAACAAGGGACCCCACGTTTTCATTTTGCACTTGGCCTTGTAAATTGTTTAGTTAGGAGTGGCTTTACCTGAATCTGGGAATAGAGAAAGCAGGTTGAGAGAGAAGCTTTTTAAAGTCATGGTCCAATCTATGTGAGGCTGATGGTAGAATTCTTTTGATCCTGAGTATCATTATTTTTGGAACTTATCCTTTGGATAAATTAATCCTTCGTCTGAGATGCTAGCAGAGAACATATTCTTCTCTGGGAAAAATTTTTTCTTATTAGGTACACACTGCTTTGTACTAACAATTATCAATGTATCAATTTGGTTTCAGCTATTTGGATGGCTCTTTTGCAAAGTACATCCTGGTGCTGTTGTTTTTGCTGTATTAGCAGCAATGTCAATACAAGGTTCAGCAAATCTACAAACCCAGTGGAATATTGTAGGGGAGTTCAGCAATTTGCCACAAGAAGAACTTATAGAATGGATCAAATACAGTACTAAACCAGGTAAAAAAAAAAAAAAAAAGTCATTATTTAGCTAGTATTTTCCCCACAATTTTGTATATTATTGCAAAATCTTAAGCCCAAGTTACTTCCAATGGTCTTACTCTCTCTAAGGAATGCTATCTCTAGAATATCCAAAAAAATAAATAAAAAGAAGATATCAATCCTGCTTAAACAGTTTATAGGGTAATTGTTATACATATTTTCTTAGTAATTCTATTTTTGATTAATTTTTTCAAAATTTATCCTAAGTTATTAATGCCACATTTAAAAATAATTTTTATGTTTATTAAGGCATTTTTAATATTATTCCTTCTTGAAATTAACTCATGGAATGTGATATTTTATTCATGTATAGATGGAGAGAGTTTATTGTCATCTGAGTCTTCCAGAATTCCTTGGTGCTATATGTAAAGCTTTTCTAGTCAATTTGGTACTTCTTTCTTAGAATCAGGAAAGATTTCTAAGATATTAAAAAGAGAAGAAGAAGAAAGAAAGAAGTCCTCAGTGATGAGATGATGCTCAGTTCTCCAAGGAGTTTGCTAGCCCATTTACTGACTACCACTTCACAGCCATCCATCCCACTTCCTTCTGGTTCTGCCATTGAATCTTGAAATCATGTGCCTCACTGTGCCTCTGCTCTGTCACCTGTGAAATACCTAGCTTAACTAAGAAGGAGACCTTTCTCACATTCACCATATGTCTTCCTAAGACCTTCTTCTTGCCTTCCAGATGCAGTGTTTGCGGGTGCCATGCCCACGATGGCAAGTGTTAAGCTCTCTGCACTTCGGCCCATAGTGAATCATCCGCATTATGAAGATGCAGGCTTGAGGTTAGTATGCAATTTCACATGTCAAAAATAAATTTTCTGTACAAACAGTGAGTGAGGAAACCAGAAAAATAACAAGAAATGTCTCAAAAAGGATATGATGTCCTGGGATTTATAGAGTCAAGGAAGAAGAAGGCTGAAATGAGACCGCTAAGCTAGAAACAAAATTGTTAAGGTTGCACAGAACAGTAAAACTATTAATACAACCTTTGGGGCTATCTTCTCTTCCAAGCAGACAAAAGAAATCATACTATATCAATTTTCTATAGGTTGGGCTGGGCGCAGTGGCTCACATCTGTAATGCTAGCACTCTGGGAGGCCAAGGTGGGAGGATCACTCGATGTCAGGAGTTCGAGACTAGCCTGAGCAAGAGCAAGACCACGTCTCTACTAAAAAATAGAAAGAAATTAGCTGGACAACTAAAAATATGGAAAAATTTAGCCGGGCATGGTGGCGCATGCCTGTAGTCCCAGCTACTTGGGAGGCTGAGGCCTAAGGATCGCTTGAGCCCAGGAGTTTGAGGTTGCTGTGAGTTAGGCTGACGCCACAGCACTCTAGCCCGGGCAACAGTAAGACTCTGTCTAAAAAAAAAAAAAAAATTTCCTACAGGTTAACAGGCCTCCAGATTATCCAGATCCTTATTAGTCACCATCCTAAGTTCCCCTGAAGATTCATTAGCTTGTAGTGTTTAAGGTTCTTCTGTAGGAAGTTTTTCTTGAATTCTAAGGAATCATTTGAAATAGAATCCCATTCAAACAGGGTTTTATTCTGGTTTTCACCAATATAGCCTGCTGAAATGATCTGGAGTATTTTTTGTTTTGGGGGGTTTTTGAGGCTTACCATTCCTTCATAATTTAGAGCTTTGTTTTCTCTTAGAAGAAAAAGTAAATTTAATTTTCATGCAATTTCTAGGGTAGGTGAAACTAGTCATTTCCTAAGTGATTAGGTGAATCCTATTAGTATATTCTTTTGCATAACAGTGGGGATATACATTTTATAAACAAAAAGCTTTTTCATTAAAAAAATCAATTTCACAAGCTAATTTCTAGAACACTTTTGTTGAATATGTTTAGTTTTTCTTAAATCTATAACAGAAATAAAACAGAGAGGACTATTTAATATGAATTATTGTTGTCAAAGTTGGGATAGTTGCAGCTTCAGAGTCATCCTATAGTTGTGTTCATGGTAGTTCATCCCTGTACACACACACAGGGCACCTGACTCTTATATGTGATAGAGTGGTGAAGAATTTAAAAACAAAAACAAATGAACAAACAAAAACAAGACTAAGTTTGGAAATGTATGGATGCATTGACACTCTACCTCTTCTCCCAGGACTCTTATGCTATTTCTGCCTTCTGCTTTTGACCTCACAAATGCCCCTAAGCAGGAACTCCTGTGAGGAATTTTCTCTTGATCTGATTCTTCCATATAGTCTTTCTTCTAGTCTCATTCAGTGCTTTCTTCCAAATATGTTGATTATATCCTTTTAATCTTGAAAATTTTCTGCCCAATTGTTTTTCTTTGAAGAGCCAGAACAAAAATAGTATACTCAATGTATAGTCGAAAAGCAGCTGAAGAAGTGAAGCAAGAATTGGTAAAGTTAAAAGTGAATTATTACATTCTAGAAGAGTCATGGTGTATAAGAAGATCCAAGTGAGTATTCAACATGGTTTATATTTTATAATCATAAGACATGAAAAGTTAATCTAGGCTCATGGCAAGTACTTTGCTGATGGTATTTTTACAGCAAGTGTTACAGCAGGTGTTTCCGAGGACAAACTGAACGGCACACGGAAAGTCAGAGAATCAAAGTTTATTTGCTGGCTAGCTCTGAGGGGTCTCACCACCAAATTCTGAGCCCTGTCTACTCAATTTTTCCCTCTTTTATTAAGTTGAGGTTGTCTGAGGGGTAGGGTATCAGGTTGCTAATGCCTGCCAGGTAATAGGTTAGTTGATGTGTCAGATAATAGTTAGTATTATGCTGATGCACGAAGTAATAGGTTTAGTGTTATGCTGATGCACCAGGTAATAGATTAGTTGATGTGTCAGGTAATAGGTTAGTATTATGCTGATGCGAGTCTTCCTTGAGGGGTGGGGGTCTCAGGTGGCTGATGTGCCAAGTAATAGATGGGGGTTTTCCTTATCAGTATTTGTGAGTTAGAGACAGGCAGACACACACACACACACACACACACACACACATACACACACACACACACGCATGTGCGCGCGCACACATTTTGCAGAGTATGAGTAGAAAAAACTTTTTAGGTAATTATTTGGAGTTTTTTTCTTGTCTTGTTACAAGTATGTTTGTTTTCTCATGATTTGCATGTGTATATCACTTTAAAGAGATGATATTGGCACTGATTGATAATCTCCCAAATTGTCCAATTTGCCTGTGATGTTTTTAAAAACTTTTATTTAAAGTTGAGTGTGTTTTACTTCAAAAGACTTCCAGAGTCTGAAACCAAATAATGGGGAGTCTCACCGTAGTGAAGCCCAACACGCATTGTCCATCTCACGTCTGCACCACACCGCGTCCTGCGGGTGGATGGGGCGCCCTGTCGTCACTGACTTAGAATGAAACTTTTCTTTCTTGGTGTTTCACATCTTATTTGAGTGGGAAAATAATTAATGTTACTGTGAACCAAATTCTCTTAGATTAATAGTTTTAGAAATTTCTATTTCCACAGAGAAATTCACTAAGCAGAGTATAGCTGTAAGTGTTAGTAAGATCTTGAAAGCAAGTGGAAATCTAAAGTTAACTATCTAGAAATGCTGTTCTTAGGTGACCAGACAGCAAATGAGAGTAGCCTACTATTAAAGTACCAAAGCATTCCCTCCATGAAGAGCACAGCACATGGGCAGTTCCAGAAATCAAGGGTATTTTATAGAATACTTTTATTTTTAAAATTCTCTCTACTCCTCAACTAAACAGAAGCCTTCGGAAGATTGCTGTATCTGTGGCTTACTCATACGTGTCCACTGTATATTTCAGTGGTACACAAGGGTGTTAAGACAAAATTGTGAAATACTGACTCATGAGTGAAAATAGTTCTGTGACATAGTATCTACTACTCAGCATTGCCCACAAAGGAACTAAAATAATTGTTGATTGTTGAATGATTTTCTTATGAATATGTGCCAAGTGACTTGAATTGAGGATTTATAGAAAATGTTATTCTAATAATTTAGAAAATGCTTTAAGTATTTGTGAACATATGAATATATATGAAATTCACATACTCACTTTGAACTTTGTTATATAAATTTAGGACAAAAAAGTTATAAGCATTTCTCACAAAAATTTCATGAGGACATTATAGTAAATGAAAGATGGGCTGACATTTGCAGGAAAAATGCAATTTCTTGGCAGAGCTTTCTGCCAGAATTGGGACCCTCTTTATTTCCTTGGGCTTTGCTCTCGAGACTGTTAGGGCAGCCTTGAATCTTCCAATTTTCTAATAACAGTTAAAGATCAATTCTGAACTCTCCCTTCTCTTTGCTGTCTCTCTCCCAAACTAGCAGGCAACCTGCTGGGACTCTGTTTTCACAAACACCTAAAAGAGCCCAGGAAAGAAATGTAAATCTTTCCTCTTTACATTTCCCTAGATCACAGTGTTTAGAATTTGTTTTACAGCCTCAAGGTGTTCCTGAAAAGCTCCCAGACAGACCGCAGGGAGGTAAACTCCAGGCCTTTGTTTCCTGCCCAAAATCTTATCTCAGGGGCAAAATCACATCCCTTGCAATAGGCCTGACTGCATTTCAAAGATGACCAAATCTCCAGGAACAGAAAAAAGCAGTCAGAAAGACAGTGACACTGCTTCCCAATTATTTTAATTTTTCCCATACCTTACCTTTCCTTTTCTTACATGTATATAATAAAAAGGGTGGAATGTTAGGTTTGTTCCAGGTGGGAACCCGAAAAGTATGTATAGGACAGAATGGTTATTACAAAACTTAGGCTTGTAAAACAATGGCTGCATGAGTCTGGAGAGTTCAGACGTTGTAAATGTGACAGTTACAGCCAGCATGCCTTCCCCTACCCTCCACCCCCCTTGGGATTAAGTCTTTCCCTCCCTCTCCTGATAAGGACACCAGAGCTGCAGGATGGATGTGACTAGGGTAGGGGTCCTAAGAGCTGAGTGTTTGAAAAAGAATTTATTACAAGCAGCTGTTCTGGCCCACTTACTTACTTCCCCGGAGAAACCCTCTATAAAACCCAAGGCTCTCCCCTTTTCTCTTGTGGATGCTTTTTCACCTCCACCCATCTGCTCCCAGATGCTCAAAATAAACAGCATTCTCCTACACGTGAGGCTTCTTGTGTGTCTCTCTCAGCTCCACACCTAACAGAGACACCTGTAGGTTCCTGGAACATGAAAATAATAACCTTTTTTTGTCCAAGCTAACAAGGACCTTGATTCAAGATTCTTCATTTTTTTTCTAGATCTTTGTATAGTGTTTTGAAGATGAAAATTGCAGAGGCTTTGTGTTGTACGCTATTGGTAGAGCTCCTTGGATTTGGATAACTGTAGTAGTCTCATGTTCTGATAGAGCACTGTTATATGTATTCACGATGGGATATAAAGGCAAATTTAGAAGTATGTGGCAATAAATCTTGCACACTAAATAAAACCAGTGACCATTTAACCAACATCAGATCACTTCCATTTAGAGCTCACTTCCAGGCACTCAGACTGAGGGTTAGGGTCGAGAGGGGGTGTGTGCTCCATTTCCCCATCTGGGCCTTGGCTTGCCATTGTTGTGTCTGTTGCAGCAGGAGTTGAGAGGGAGAAAGCTAAGAAAGTGACTCTTTCTCATCTGTTTTCCTCACTTATTAATTAAAACAACACTCTCCATCTACCCTAAGATGTAAGCCAGACTGACAACAGCTGTGAGGAAACCTTGGACAGGTCCATTCTGCTTCAGTCTTGATACAAAACAAAAGCTGTGCTTTCTGTTCTGACAAGGAAGCAAATAGGGAGCTCAGATAGGAGAGAAAAGGAAGAAGGAGTAATATTTATCTAGTGTTTACATTTATAGTAGGAAAAACTGAGTTTGACAGAGAGCTTTCTACCAGAATTGGGATCTTCTCTGTTGCCTTGGCCTTCACTCTCCAATTCAGTAATGCCAGCTTGAAATACCTGTAGGTTACTAGAACATAAAAATATGTCAAAACAGAGGAAGCAAATGAGGAACTAAGGAGAGGAAAGGGAAGAGGGACCAATATTTATCTAGTGCTTAATCTGTGCCTGGCATCTTGGTGAGCACTATATTTATATGATCTCATTTACAAGTGGCTTAATTGTGTGGCTTGATTATTCTTTAAATACTTGACACTGTGTTCAAATGCAAGCGCTAAATATACTTGAATGCAAGTTGTAGATAAGTTTTTAATTACTCTTTCATTCTTAGTTCTCTGCTTTCCTTTATTAATTCTAATAATAGAGTTGACATAAAATTAAAATACATGTATTCAGAAGAAAATCATTCAGATTTTCACAAATACTATTTGAAGATGTAGCTGGCTGTCCTGGAGAGACCTTTGGAAACTCAGATAAGGACTAAAGGGTATTGCACCAAGCAGACAGAGCTCACAAAGGCAGCTCTTTGCCCTCCCTCTTTCCTAAAAGCTACTGAACTTAGAAAAACTCTGGGTAGTTTTCTGCTTCCTCTGTCTCATTCTCCACTACCACAGGCCCTTGTTGTAACAGTTCAGCCTTGATAAGTGGGAGAAAATTAAAAGGTAGAAATCCCAAGCCTCGCCATACTATCATGGGTGGAATGTCGGTAGAAGGGTGTGTAAAAAGTGTGCAACCTGAACCCTCTTCATGGGAACACTCATTGGCAAAACCTTTCTAGGAGATAATTTGATGGAGGCAAAGTGAAAAATTGTGTAGTCCTTTGACAGAGGGAAGGACAGCTTGCAGAAGGGAGATAGGCACATAAATGTTTATAGCAACATTGTTTCATAATGACAAAATGGAAAATAATTACAATATCCATCTGTAAAGAATTGATTAAATAATACATGAGTACTAGCAGCTATCAAAAAGAATAAAGTAGGTCTTTATGTACGGAGATGGAAAAATGGCCACATTTTATTAAGAATCTCAGAATGATCCCAATTTTTGTAAAAACAACCTAGGAGCATCCACGTCCATGTTTATATTTGTGTGTGTATGTGTCTGAACGTGGATAAAACCAGTCTAGCGGGGTATATGCTGTATTGTTTATAGAAGTCACCTCTGAGAAATGGCATTGGAGATGA